CCCCCCCCGGGGTGTGCTGGGTGGGGTGCAGGAGGGTGGGCGGGGGGCAGGAAGGATGCTTGTGAAATAAACATTTGTTCTACTTTCTGTGAACAAATTACAAACTTAAAATTTGGAACCAGTAACATCTACCGCCGCCTGTGGATGTTTGCCTCTGCGACACCACCTTTCCTTCCTTTCAGGGGGCAGGAAAGTGCCGGCCACGCCCGATCCCCAGCGACACCTGAGGATCGTCCAGGACCCCGAGTACCGGCGGCTTGGCTGCTCCGTGGACATGAGCATCGCCCTGGCCACCTTCGTCCCGCACGAGTACGTTAGTGTTCGGGGAATCAAGAATAACACCACGTAGAAGCCTTCAGGGCTGGTGTTACTTTCATACCGTTTATTAAGCGTTTGAATAGCAATGAAGTCAAGTCTTTCGCCCGGACCTCACTGCTGCTGGTGCCGGCGTCTCCCCCGCTCCTCGGGCTGGTCCTGGCTCCCACACGTGGGTGTAAAAGTGTTTACAGTCACAAGACTTCAGCTGTAACTCAGATCCTGATGAATATATTTAAAGAATCGATGACCCTTGTTAGAAAGTTTTTTTTCATTTCATTAAAAAAATTTTTTATTTTAATTTTTTATTTTTCAATTTCAGTTGATGTACAATATTACATTAGCTTCAGCTGTACAGCCCTCTGATTAGGCATTTATATAACTTACTAAGTGATCAACCCGATAAATCTAGTTAGTGCCCACCCGGCACATACATAGTTATTACAATATTATTGACTATATTCCCTGTGCTGTGCTTTACATCCCCGTGATAATTCTGTGTCTACCAATCTATACTTCTTAAATCCCTTCGTGTTTCTCACTCATCCCCTAGAAAGTTTTTAAAGGTAGAATTTGTAAATATCAAGCATTAAATAATAGTTTGTGTTGCTGTGTCTGCTCTAGCAACGGGCCAGCCGCGGTTGAGGAATGCTGCAACTGGTTCCGAAAGAGAATTGAGGAATTAAATTCAGAGAAACGTCAGCTTGTGAACTCTCACCAGGAACAGGTCTTACCTACCTTTCAACGGCTGTTTTCCCCTGAATCTTAATACTGCCTATTGTTGTTATTGACATAACATAATTTAATGTTTTTTAGGCAGTTAATTGCATTTTGGGAAATGTGTTTTATGAACGACTGGCTGGCCATGGTCCCAAACTAGGACCTGTCACTAGGAAAGACCCTCTAGTTACCAGGTATTCCATTCCTGTTTTCTCATTAAAGGTTAAACATGGTATTTAGCTTTTCAAATTAGCCTAAATGTTTCCTTTACTGTGTGACTTGCAGTGCATCTCTTAAAGGGAAGTAGAAGTTCTGATTTGGTAACTAGGCTTGCTACTGGTTAATTTTGTTAGGCAGATCTTTAGTTAGAGAGACTGCCGTCCGTGTGAACCAATCTATAATTGTTTACATTACTGTCCCTGGAGGACTGAATACTTAACGATGATTTCAGTGTCGACCAGGTGTGTTAGAATGCTACCTCTCCATTCCTCAGATTGTGCTGAATTTACTCAAAAAGCCTACTGACGATTTTTGCCCTGTATTGAAATTTCTTTCCTATGAGTGGTGTCAGACTTGTCTGACTCTGTCCACTGGGGAGGGAATTTAACTTTGACGGCGCTCGCAGGCTCTCTCCGGAGAGTTTCTCTGCATGCATTGAATAATTGATTGTGTCTCCACAGGTATTTTACTTTCCCGTTTGAAGAAATGACCCTCCCCGAAGAAGAATCTGTGATTCATCTCCCAAATAAAGCGTGTTTTCTGATGGCGCATAACGGATGGGTCATGGGGGACGATCCCCTCCGAAACTTTGCTGAGCCCGGTACCTGCGTCATTTCTGTTATTTCTGTGTGGACAGGGAAACAAAGTTCACGGCAACTGGAAAATAGAAACCACTTAATTCAGGTTTTTCCCCACTAGTCTAGTGGTTTATGTTTCTTTTATGTGTTTGTATTGACTTTTCGAGAGAGGGAGAGGGAAAGAGAGATAGAAACATGGATGAGAGAGAAACATAGGTCGGCCGCCTCCCGCATGCCCCCGGCTGGGGATCGAGCCGCGAACCCAGGAATCGAACTGGGCCTCCCGGTGCAGGGGGGCAGCTCAGCCGCTGAGCCACCCCGGCCCGGCCGCTGGTGGTTTTTAACCTGTTTCTTCGCAGAGGCACCAGAGGCGCATACAGGTTGAGAGAAAAGACTCACAAAAGGAGGGAGTTCTCTCCCCCCCCGCCCCTCCGCTCCTCCAGCAGAACCGTTTTCATAGATCTGGTTTTCCCTGTGGTTGTGCATAAGATTGTATTTTTGCAAAAATTTATTCTTTTTTTCAATGTTTCAGAACTAGTTATCTGTTTTAATGACAATTTAATTTAAAAATCTCATTTTTTTAAAAAAAGAATGTAACTCCAGGATTAAGTATCTCTACCCTCTCCTTCCTGGTCACTTAAATGGAAAAAAAAAAAAAAAGCATCCTACTCTGTGTCATGGATTTAATGTCACCTGTTGCTAAAAATGGGTGGGAATTGGGGATGGAGCTTTGTATGTTTTGTGGAACTATAGCTTTAAAGGGCCAATGATACTGCTATTACTGTTTTCTTTAAGAAGCAACTTGAATTTGTGACATTAAGCACGTATTTTTAGAAGCGACTACGAGCTAGAATTTTTGCAAAACAGATGAGATATAGGTTAATACTAATTTTTAAACACTTTATCCCAAACCATTTCAGATCTAACTTTAACCAGTCTGTATATGGCTTGTGGTAGAAACAGTCCATTTGATTTAAAACCAACAGTGTGTCCTGGGAGTAGTTTTTCCCGTTTAATTTCTTGGGTCACTGAAAGCAGGCCCCTTCCTCGCCAGGCTCAGCCGTTTACCTCCGGAGGGAACTCGTTTGCTGGGGAGACAGCGTGAAGCTGCGCTACGGGAACGGGCCCGAGGACTGCCCTTACCTCTGGGCCCACATGAGAAAATACACGGAAATCACCGCCACCCATTTCCAGGGCGTGCGGCTGGACAACTGCCACTCCACACCGCTGCACGTGGCCGAGGTACGGCGCCGGGCGCCCCTCGGGGAAGGACCCGCGCGTCCCCCCTCGGTCCCGAGAGCGGGCACGCACCTGCCCGCCGCCGCTGGGCCCGGGCGGCCCGCTGGCTGCGTTGCAAACAGTCCCGTCTGGTCCTTGCCGCATCTGCGTGCTCACAGGGGCCTTTGTCAGTCACCGCCTCCTCCACCGCCTGGGCGTTAGAGGGACTAAGGCGACACGCAGGACGGGGGCCTCGCCGGCTGCCGTGCTGAGCGTCGCATTTTTAACACGACGCTCGCGTCCTTCCTTTTCATCCTTTTTCCCGTTTGTGTCCCTATCGTCTTGGCAAAATCCTCACCTCCCTTTGCACTCTTTCCTTCTCTTTATATGTCCTCCTGCTTACTGTGCGTATCGGCCTGTTTCATTCGTTTTCCTTTGCGTGTGCACGACTACGCTGACTTGGGAATTCTCCTTGGATGACTCCGTCGGGTCCCGCTGCTTGGTGCCCTCCTGTCACGTCCACGCCCGGTCTCGCCCCCTGATCCGTCCCTGACTCTGCTTGTTCCAGTACATGCTGGACGCTGCTAGGAAACTGCAGCCCAATTTGTATGTCGTGGCGGAACTGTTCACGGGAAGCGAGGACCTGGACAATATCTTCGTCACCAGGCTGGGCATCAGCTCCTTAATAAGAGGTAGGCGCGCTCCAGCGAATCTCCCACCCCAAACTCTGGCTTTCGCTTAGGAGGATTAAAAGGCGTTTCATGCTCTGTGTATAATGTTTATTAATTTTCAACACAGTTAATGTTCTTTTAAATGTTCTCCATAAGATTTCCTAATATAACTCAGTCTGGGTTTTTTTCCAGTAAAAATTTGCACCGTGGGGTAAAATATCTCATTTTAAATCGAAAGACCAGGGGGATGAGTTGATGACTCATGAACAAAACCATTTTTTTTGCTGTTGAAAATACACAAATCTGTTTTTCATCTTGACTGCCTAGATATACGATATAATCTTTGGATGTTTATCTAACCACCATCCTAATAAACAACACACGTTCACTTTCACCTGCATAAGCCATTTTCCTGGTTAAATTATAGACAGATTTTTTTTTTGGTCACTTAAGCTAGTGGGTATTTGTTTAAATGTTGAAAGCAGTTTTATTTGTGACAGTATTTAACCTGTTCTTGGACGTTAATAATGAAGATTAAAATATCCCGTGTGCTTTGCAGAAGCAATGAGTGCGCACAACAGTCACGAAGAGGGCAGGCTAGTTTACCGCTACGGCGGCGAGCCCGTCGGGTCCTTCGTTCAGCCCTGTCTGAGGCCTCTGATGCCGGCCATCGCCCATGCCCTGTTCATGGACGTCACCCACGACAACGAGTGTCCCATCGTGGTAAGCGTCCAGTCTCGTCTTCTATCTACTTGTTTTGCTACATGTTTTGATACTTAGTTCTCTGATATTTAGTGNTATGGACGTCACACACGACAACGAGTGTCCCATCGTGGTAAGCGTCCAGTCTCGTCTTCTACTTGTTTTGCTACATGTTTTGATACTTAGTTCTCTGATATTTAGTGGCAGTAATACCCACAGACTTCAAAATAGTGAGTTACATTTATAAGTGATCGTGGAGCGTAGTTTGGTGGAATGTTTTGTGATTTGTTCTAAAGCAAAGTGATGTATCTTACAGAATATATCTCTGATGTGCCTTATAGAATGTGTCTCTGATGTGCCTTATAGGATGTGTCTCTGATGTGCCTTATAGAATGTATCTCTGATGTACCTTATAGAATGTATCTCTGACCTTATAGAATGTATCTCTGATGTGCCTTATAGAATGTATCTCTGATGTTCCTTATAGAATGTATCTCTGACCTTATAGGATGTATCTCTGATGTGCCTTATAGGATGTGTCTCTGATGTGCCTTACAGGATGTGTCTCTGATGTGCCTTATAGAATGTATCTCTGATGTACCTTATAGAATGTATCTCTGATGTACCTTATAGAATGTATCTCTGATGTGCCTTATAGAATGTATCTCTGATGTACCTTATAGAACGTATCTCTGACCTTATAGAATGTATCTCTGATGTGCCTTATAGAATGTATCTCTGATGTTCCTTATAGAATGTATCTCTGACCTTATAGGATGTATCTCTGATGTGCCTTATAGGATGTATCTCTGATGTGCCTTATAGAATGTATCTCTGATGTGCCTTATAGAATGTGTCTCTGATGTACTTTATAGAACGTATCTCTGTAATTATTCTTTTACTCCATGCTGCTGTTGGCCGGCACTGTGCACTGGAAGGAAAAGTAACTTTGGGTTTTGTTTGTTTTCTAGCACAGATCCGCCTATGACGCCCTCCCAAGCTCCACGATTGTCTCCATGGCGTGCTGTGCAAGTGGCAGTACCAGGGGCTATGATGAATTAGTACCCCATCAGGTTGGTTACGTGCTGTCTTTTTTTTTTTTTTTAATGTTTTTATTGGTTTCAGAGAGAGGAAGAGATAGAAATATCGATGAGAGAGAAACATCGATCGGCTGCCTCCTGCCCACCCCTCCTGGGAATCAAGTCTGGAACCCAGGCATGTGCCTGGACCAGGAACTGAACCAGCGACCTCCTGGTGCGCGGGACGGGGCTCAATCGCTGAGCCGAGCCACCCCAGCCGGGCTGCGTGCTGTCTTTTAAAATCCACGTGGCCAGCAGCTTTGAGCATTTACACCCAAAATTCTCGCTGCAGTGAAAGTGTACACACTTTCTAAGTCTTCGCTCTGTCCAGATTTCAGTGGTTTCTGAAGAACGGTTGTACACGAAGTGGAACCCCGGAGCATCGCCGTCGAACACAGGCGACGTCAATCTCCAAAGTGGAATCATCGCGGCCAGGCGCGCGGTCAACAGGCTCCACCGCGAGCTCGGGGCCAGCGGCTTTATCCAGGCGAGAAGCTGACTCTCCCGAGTCCCTTCCGAGGGTCGGTGTCAGAGTCTCTCCGGGTGGAGCGCTGACGGGCTTGCTCTGTCTGTCCCTCAGGTGTACGTGGATCAGGTGGACCAGGACATCGTGGCGGTGACGAGACACTCCCCTAGCAGCCACCAGTCAATCGTGGCTGTGTCGAGAACCGCTTTCCGGAACCCCAAGACCTCATTCTACAGCAAGGAAGTGCCCCAAATGTGCATCCCCGGTAACGCGGTCTGAAACCGTGTCTGTGGCCGTGTGCTGCTGCGTTAGCGTGTACTGCGCGATGTTAAGTTGCTGTCGTATAGCATGTGCACTAAAACACAGTGCGCGTGGGGATGTGGTCGAGAAGAAGAATTAGAAATCTTGGTCCCTTATATTTTCACTGCGCGGAACAAAACCCGGACAGAAACGTTCTCAAGCGTTAGCAGCTTCTGAGTTGTGCCGTAGTTTTGTTTTTCAACCCCTTTAGCAATTCCTAATTTCAGATGGTTTACTATGAAATTCTGTTAACATTTTTATGTGTTCCTAGGTAAGGTAGAAGAAGTAGTCCTTGAAGCTAGGACCGTGGAAAGAAACACAAAACCTTACAAGCGGGACGAAAGTTCAATCAACGGGATGCCCAATATCACAGTAGAGATGAGAGAACACATTCAGGTATTCGGTGCTCGCTGTACTACTGAAGGTTTAACATTTCAAGGACATTCTAATTATTCACTGAATGGCCTTCTCTCTTTTCAAGCTTAACGAAAGTAAAATTGTTAAACAAGCTGGAATTACCACAAAGGGGCCCAATGAATATATTCAAGAGATAGAATTTGAAAACTTGTCTCCAGGAAGCGTTATTGTATTCAGGTGCAGTAGCCTTCAAACCGTTCTTGCCTTATACTGAAAATAGTTTACGTTAATTTTAAATAAACGACTCTTAGAAATTAACCCATTTGCAATGCGTGTTTTCAGAGTCAGCCTTGACCCCCATGCCCAGGTCGCTGTTGGGANGACTTGCCTTATACTGAAAATAGTTTACGTTAATTTTAAATAAACAACTCTTAGAAATTAACCCATTTGCAATGCGTGTTTTCAGAGTCAGCCTTGACCCCCATGCCCAGGTCGCTGTTGGGATTCTCCGGAACCATCTCACACAGTTCAGCCCTCACTTTAAGTCTGGGAGCCTCGTGGTCGACAACTCAGACCCCATATTGAAAGTTCCTTTTGCCTCGTAAGTGCGCCTGGTTGCATGGAGATTTGCCTCCTCAATAACCGATGAGTGACCAGCACTGACCGGATGCTGAGGAAGGCAGTGCTCAGGGCTCCTGTGTCCTCGCTGCTCAGAGGGTGGCCCGAGGACCAGCGGCCTCAGCGTCGCCCATCGTCACCGTCCCTCCCCCCACGTCCTTACCGATAGTGTGTGTTACTATAACGTAGTGTTTTAGGAGCACAGAGTCTAGGACCAGACTACCTGGGGTGAATCCAACTTCAGACTCTTACCAGCTGTAAGAAGTGGGGCTTCTAATGAATACGGTTTCACACTGGGCTGTTTCCTTGGTTTGGAAGAAGTGTTACGTCGGGTGGACCTTTCCCCATGTTTTGCCCTTTAATTACTATTTATAACGTATACTGATTATAACGCATATTGTAGCGATGAGTTCCTAAAGCACACGCTGCTAACGTGTTTTAGANATAGCGACGAGTTCCTAAAGCACACGCTGCTAACGCGTTTTAGAGTTATGATTCAGGTTTTCTCCTTAATTTTTATTGACAGCGAGCGAAATGTCAGCATATTTAACCAGGTCTCTTTATTTTTCAGCATTGCCTCCAAATTAACCCTGGCCGATCTGAACCAGGTGCTCTACCGATGCGAGTCGGAGGAACGGGAGGACGGGGGCGGGTGTTACGACATCCCCGGCTGGTCGCCTCTCAAGTACGCAGGCCTTCAAGGTAGGCGAGTGTAAGGAGAGGTAGGCATTTGGGGGGTTTTTTTGAGAGTCTTATGGTGTCTTTTTAATAAGACTAGGAGGACGGGCTCAGAGTTGGACGGCTTGGGTTCGGATTTTGGCTGTGCCGCCTGCTCGGCCTCGGGCAGGTAGCTTCTCTGCCCCAGTGTCTACCCTCTAAGGCGTTAATATTGTCTAGATGCAGGCTCTTCTGAGGGCTGAAAGGGGCGATTCACTGAAATAACAGGATGTGCTCCGTGTGCGTGGGAATCCTCGTGCTCCCCTGTGAGGGTCCCGGGAGGACACGCCAGACGCCTCCCTCCCTCTGCCCCTCCGTTGAGCCCAAGCGTCTCTCACAGGGTTTCCCGAGCAGGCTCTGCTCTTAGCGCCACAGGTGACCTCTTGGCCTCAGAGCCAGGCCTCTCACTCCCTTAACCTTGCCCGAGTAAGAATGAATCCGCCGCTTGTCAACACAGAAAGACGCGCGGCAGCTCCTTCCCGGACGCCGCGGGGCCGAGAAGCCTGCTGTTCCTCTGAGCATCGGAACGCCCGGTCCAAGGAGAACGGGCCGGTCTGGGGAGGCGGGGTCTTGGGAAGCTCTGCACAGCTCCTGGGACAGGCGTCCCCTTCCCTGTGGCCTCGTAGCCGTGCGTCCCCGTAGCCGTGCGTCCCCGTAGCCGTGCGTCCCCGTAGCCGTGCGTCCTCCTAGCCGTGCGTCCCCGTAGCCGTGCGTCCTCGTAGCCGTGCGGCCCCGTAGCCGTGCGTCCCCGTAGCCGTGCGTCCCCGTAGCCGTGCGTCCCCGTAGCCGTGCGTCCCCGTAGCCGTGCGTCCCCGTAGCCGTGCGTCCCCGTAGCCGTGCGTCCCCGTAGCCGTGCGTCCCCGTAGCCGTGCGTCCCCGTAGCCGTGCGTCCCCGTAGCCGTGCGTCCTCCTAGCCGTGCGTCCCCGTAGCCGTGCGTCCCCGTAGCCGTGCGGCCCCGTAGCCGTGCGTCCCCGTAGCCGTGCGTCCCCGTCGCTGGTTCAGGCCTGTGTTACCACACTTACGCCCAAGCACGGCGAGTGCCGCCGCGGACCACGCAGCCCCGCGCCTGCCTCGGCGTTCACCTCAAATCCTCAGACGCCAGCAGCAGCCAGGCTCTGGACCCCGCTGCCCTTGTGACATTTCTGTGAATTTCAGGGTTAATGTCCGTACTGGCCGAAATACGACCGAAGAACGACTTGGGGCACCCCTTCTGCGATAACTTGCGATCCGGGGACTGGATGATCGACTACGTGAGCAACCGGCTCATTTCCCGGTCGGGGGCCGTTGCCGAGGTGAGCGCAGCTGGACTGTCGTCCGGAGGGGCGAGGGCGGCCGAGAACTGCGTTATGTATAATACTTACCGCGTCTGCCAGCCCGAGACACTTCCCCTCCTTTGTCGTTGTCACTCGGCTCCGATAGGTGGTCCTCTAGCGGAGGCGTCACCGCCTGGGCGCCGCAGGTTTGGGTTTGCCGTGTGAGAGGCCGCGCCCGCAGACGCACCGCTCACCCTAAGTCGCTTTCTGACAGGTCGGTAGGTGGCTGCAGGCCATGTTCTTCTACCTGAAGCAGATCCCCCGCTACCTCATCCCCTGTTACTTCGACGCCGTGCTGATCGGCGTCTACACCACCCTGCTGGATGCGGCGTGGAAGCAGATGTCCAGGTACCCAGGGGCCGGGCGCCGGCTTGGTGGGGGCCGGGCGCAGGGCCGCTTGCACGCGCCCTGAGGGGACCAGCGCGTGCCCACCGGCCGCGGACGCGCGGAGCTGAGCGCGGCTGTGAGCGGACAGTAAGGGTGCTCGCTTCTCGCGCGGAACATACACGGCGTGGACATCGACAGCTGCTCCACAAAGCCAAAGAAGCGCGTCGCCGGGAAATGCAAATTGTTTTCCCCCATTTCCACTTAGTCCCTGACTTGGAATAAGCCCACAGCAGGCCCGGGGCTTAAGCCAGAGAGACCAGCGGGCAAAGTGGAAGCAGTTAGAAAGTCTACCCCACCTGAAAACGCCCTTCAGACGGCATTGCCCTTGCTGCCCACTGGCAGAGAGGGATTAACTGAGGAAAGGAGCCACGTGAACCAGCACAGCTGCAGGGCTCGGGGCGTGGGTGGGATGTGTGGTGACTGCGGACGGGCCGGGCGGCGCTGGGCCGGACACTGGAGGCCTGTGCAGGGCGTTTGCCGCAGTAAAATGCTTTTAAAATAAGCAAATAATAAAATGCTTGTCGTTCTACAAATAACACTTTGAACCCTGTCCCTTTACTGCAGCTTCGTCCAGAACGGTTCTACCTTCGTGAAGCACCTGTCCCTGGGCTCGGTCCAGCTGTGTGGGGTGGGAAGGTGCCCCTCCCTGCCCCGCCTCTCCCCGGCCCTGAAGGACGCCCCCTACAGGCTGAACGAGCTCACGAAGGAGAGGGAGCAGTGCTGCGTGACTCTGGCCGCAGGTGGGCCGTGGCGGCGAGCAAGCGAGGACGTGTCCGTCCCAGTGTTATTCAGAGCTGTGGGGGAATGATTATTTTTTTTAAAAAAAACAACCTCATGACGTTGTCCAAGATCTTGCGTTCCTGCTGAGCAGGATTCCACCGACGGGCGCCCGTGAAAGTCACAGCTGTGCTTCCTGTAACCGCCACGGTGCCACGGGCAGGGAGCGTTACGTGCGGTTTTTGCTGTGGCTGGTGAATCGTCTTCTTTGCATGTTTCTATGTTTTCAACTCTTGACGTTTTATATATTGTTTTTATCAGATTTGTTTTACTGCCTTTGTTCCGTTAGATGACACTTCTTTCCCAATTTTTAAAAGTCACCCAGCCCTGTCGTGGAAGGCCCTGCACAAGCTGCAGGCGCCCCCTGAGAGCTGTTACGCGTCTAACCGCCTGGGGGGCTTTGGCTCCGTTACTTTCGCTCTTTCCCGAAAGGGCACTGGAGCTGGGCCAGTTACAGTTTCTGCGCCAGATACACCCTGGTAACAAGACGGAGGGGCTTCCGTTACCTTGGGTCCCCTTTTCTGTTGAGGAGAGAAAGTCCCCCCTCAACGAGCCTGAAGGCAAAGCTACAGGACAGCGTGGGTTAACGTGGGGCCGTTGTGTTTCTCGCAGGCTTGCCTCACTTCTCCTCCGGCATTTTCCGCTGCTGGGGGCGGGACACTTTCATCGCGCTCAGAGGCCTCCTGCTGATCACCGGGCGCTACCTGGAGGCCAGGTAGGGGGGCGCGGAGAGCGCCCGTCTCCATCGAAGGGTTCGCCCCTGCTCTTCAAACTTCCCTTCGCTTCCGCCTGTCCTCCACATTCGGGAGGGTGAGGGCTGGGTTTCCTTCAGGTGGGTTTTTTGTTGTTGTTTTTAAGAATTTTTTTTTAATATGTTTTTATTGATTATTTAGAGAGAGGAAGGGAGAGGGGGAGAGAGAGAAACATCTATGAGGGAGAAACCGAAACACCATCAGTCGGCTGCCTCCTGCGCGCCCCCTGCTGGGGATCCGCCCGCAGCGCAGGCTTGAGCCCGACCGGGAATCGAACCCCGAGCGCCCGGATCCTAGGTCGACGCTCAACCGCTGAGCCGCCGGCCAGGCCGGGCTCGTTTTAGAAAGCCATGCTGCCCGCCTGACGCTTCCAAAGATAAAGTGTCTTTTACTGGTTTTTGGAAATCAGTCATGTTTTTCTACATCAGCTTTATCAACATCAGCTTTACCCATTTACCTTCTGACACGTTGGCTCTGCTCTTGGTAGCTGCTGTTTAGAACAACAGTGTGTGTTAAATCTGAAATACCAGCGGTCTCAGCAGGGGGATCTATAGCTCAAAGATCACCCGACCCCACCCCTAATTCTAGAAAAGGAAAACCGCCAGCCGCACAGATCGTCAGAGAAAAGGCCAGGGCCACGAGCCAGCTTCCTGACTTCTGGCTCATGCCTGTTCTCTGTGACGACCACTTTCTGTGCGAGAAACCGGAGAAATCAGGGCAGGAAAGAAAACGCCCCCGAAACCGTGGGCGCCCAGGGTGGCCCTTTGTCCCTCACTTCGTTGCTCCCCTGCCCGACGCCCGTCTCGGTGTTTCAGGAACATCATCCTGGCCTTCGCGGGCGCCCTGCGGCACGGGCTCATCCCCAACCTCCTGGGGGAGGGGACGCACGCCAGGTACAACTGCCGGGACGCCGTGTGGTGGTGGCTGCAGTGTGTGCAGGACTACTGCCGCCTGGCGCCCGGCGGCCTGGGCATCCTCCGGTGCCCCGTGTCCAGGATGTACCCCACGGACGACTCCGCCCCCTTGCCGGCCGGCGCAGCGGTAAAAACCCCTTTCTCTCCATCGTTTCCTTTCCTGAAAGGTGACCCGGCTCCTCATGTAGAAGTGTAGTAATCAGGGACCGTTCAGGCCGCACCGTTTGTCCACTTAGCGCCCGCTGGCACTGGGGGCACGGAGGCGAGACCCGCTCCCTCCTCGGGCTGGCGCGGTGGGGGGCCCTGTGGGGCAGCGGTCACCGCGCGGAGGTGGACGTCGCCCGGGGACAGGGCACCTGTCTCGTGTGGCCGCAGGGAGGCTCTAGAGACCGGAATTTCCAGAGCTGTGGGGGGGCCGTGCCGCCCCCCGGAGCCCAGGGCTCGTCCCGGGCAGTCAGCCGGAGCCACTGACCTCTGAGCAAGTCGCCCCCGTGGGAACTGTACAAGCTCCCGAGATTCCTTCCCACGTGTCAGCAAGATTATAAGTGATGTCGTGTCCCAGACGTGAGCAAACGACAATATGTTACATATTCGCCGGCCAGAGGGCGGCTGCATTCCCCCAGCCCCACCCGGACCCCGTCTCCCTCCCGAGGAGGACAGGCGTGTCCCTGAGACTCGAGGTGCGGGTCGGGGAGGTGAGGAGGGGCGTCCCCGACCAGGCGCGGTGGCTGCCCGCAGGACCAGCCGCTGTTGGAGGTGATCCAGGAGGCCATGCAGAGGCACGCCCAGGGCATCCGGTTCCGGGAGAGGAACGCGGGGCCGCAGATCGACCGCAACATGAAGGACGAAGGTACCTCCCGCGGCCGGCGCGGCTCGCGGACCAGGCGAGCCTCTGCTCTGCGCACCCTCAGAGGCGGGCCCGGCCCGGCCCGCTCGCGGGGGCTCGTCCGTGCTAGCTTCTTGAGGGAAGATGGCAGCGTGTGCCTGTGTCAGCCGGTGTGGAAGGCAGTTTGGCGGCTGCCTTTATAGTCACACTAATAATTGCTAATAACTGAGCGTTCCCTGTGCGCCGGGCACCGCGCTAACCGCGCGGCGTGTCGACGCCGTTCGGCGCTCCGGGTAACACCGGGTGAGTCCCGTCCTTGCCGATACGATGACTGGAGTGCGGTAGTTTTGTTACGGTAACAGGACTACGGCCTTTTTTTTTTTTTGAAAGATTTTGTATTGATTTTTAGAGAGAGGAAGGGAAGGGGGGGAGAGAGAAACATTGACGTGAGAGCAAAACACCGATCGGCTGCCTCCCTCCTGCACCCCCTGCTGGTGACCGAGCCCACGACCCGGGCACGTGCCCCGAGCGGCCGCCAAGTGACCACCTTCCAGCGCCCGGGGCGAGGCTCAGCCCACTGAGCCACACCAGCCAGGGTGCTCTTTCCTTAAACTCTGTTGTTTTTAATATAAAATGATGAGCTTTTTAAGTGATCTACTCCAGATATTTCAGGAAACTCACTAACTCACTGGAAAATTTTGATACGCACTCAAGAATCTAAATTTCCTTGTATGTTATAAATTATATTTTAAACAGTAAGTAAACCCTGTTTAGCTAACTTACTGTTCGTAGTGGTAACATACACGTTTTATACCCAGCTGAGCTGGTAAGAATCACCGAGAACGTTTTTCTGTTCTCCACTAAGAGAGCTAAGTAGAATCAGATTTTATATGTGAAGAACATTTTTTGTGATCTCTGAAATTATTTTAATTTTAATTATGAAGCATTTCAGTGCACAAAAAATAACCTAAATGTCACCTTTGAACCTGGAAGCTGGAACTATTGTTAGACAGATACTAACATTGGCCATGTTTTCTTTAGCTCTTTCCTTTTTGTTTTGAAAAGAAATGCACCCTGACAGGCATGTCTAAGGGTTCCTCGCTCTCTGTCTTCCTTCCCTCTCCTGTATGTTTTTGTGCTTTATGTGCTTATGTGTGTTTGAGTATGTGCAAATTACATGACATATATTATGTAGTATATTCCATACATTATGTAGAATATATTCAGTATATTGTCGTATAGTGAGTTTTGTCTTATATAATCACATAAGACGTAGCCACACGCACGTACGTGATTGTCTATATTAATATTGCCCATCATTTAAATGTTTACAAAAAAGGCATCTTATGCAAATCCTCTTGCAACTGGTTCACTCAGTTGTTGTTTTTTGAGGATTTGTGCATTTATGAGTCATGTAAATCCAGCTCATTCGGTGCCGTAAGGAGTTTTCCGTTGTATGAATACGGCCGGTGCTCGTCCAGTCCTGCACCCGCGGGTACTCACTTCTGCGCACAGGGCAGTGCCGCAGGGACAGCCCGCAGGGGTCTCCGCGCCCGTGGGACGGGCTCCTCGGGGCCTGAGCCCGGGAACGAGGCGGCCACGTGGCGTAATCAGCACGTCCCCAGTTCGCGGTCCCCCCGCCTGCCGGAGTCCTGCGTCCGTCACACGCCTTTTACATTTCGTGTCTCGTTTGGCTCTTTAGGTTTTAACATAACTGCAGGAGTGGACGAGGAAACGGGGTTTGTTTACGGAGGAAATCGCTTTAACTGCGGCACCTGGATGGACAAGATGGGAGAGAGCGACAGGGCGCGGAACAGAGGCATCCCCGCCACCCCCAGGCACGGCGCCCGTCGAACCCGCCCTGCTAACCGCGTGCTTGGGGCCTTCACGTTAAAGCAGGGAGAGGCCCTGTCCCCTCCCGCCCCCCCCTCGGGCACAGACAGGGCCCCTTGAGTGAGCCGGGCGAGGCACCTGTCCCTCGGGGAGCTCCCGCGGGTGGCCTTGCCGCCCGCACCCCCTCGCCCCCGTGCCCGTGGTGAAGGCGTCTCCTAACGGGAAGTGCTGGCCCGTAAACGTGTCACGAAGCCGTCTTTTGTAAATACAGGAAACAACCCGTTTCCCATCCTTGACGGAATCCTTTCACTTTCTGAACCTTTATTCCCCCTAATTTTTTAAATCTTTCGTCCCGTCTCTTCTTTTTATGATTCAAACACTGGATACAGCACCAGGCCCGAGAGACTGTTTTCTTATTGTAGGTTTTACCTTCAGTCAGAATTGTCACACAAAAAATAAGTAAAAAGTCACTTCACAGTGGCTGTTTTCACGTGCTCCGCGGAGTCTTCTAAGCCTGCTCAGCCTGGTGCATCAGGGGCTCTGGTGCTTCCCTTTTGTTTAACTTGGGGCCGCGCCGGGTTCGGCCGTGCGCCCTCCCGGCCTGGCCTTCCCAGCCCGGCCCCCGCGGCCGCCTTTTCTCGGGGGCTCCGTTTCCATGGTCTCTGGTTCCTCGCTCCCCCCTTTCCAGGCCGGCTCCTTTTCTCCACGATCCCCATCCCGCTGCAGAGAATCTTTAAAACTGCGCCAGGAAGGTGTGCGCGGGCACCCGGCGGGAGAGACCCCTCGGGCAGTCCCAGGGCGCGGGGTTCCTCGTAGACAGTTATTCTCTAACCCGCGGGGGCCGCAGTCCATCGCGGCCGTTCCTCGGAGGCCCCTCAGGCCACGCGTACACGGCCGCAGCCGAAGAATAAAGTTTGTCTTTGATTCTAGAGACGGGTCCGCCGTAGAGATTGTGGGTCTGAGCAAGTCCGCCGTCCGATGGCTGCTGGACTTGTCCCAAAAGAACATCTTCCCCTACCGCGAAGTCACGGTGGAAAGACACGGTGAGCGGCTCCGGTGCTTCCGAGCGCGTGTTCTCGCCCGCGCCAGCACCCGCGGGCTCCGGGCGCTTGCATCAGGGAGCCCCTGCGGCTAAGGGGAGAGAAGCCGCTCATTTACGAACAAACCTGGCTGCTCGCCACGTTCTTACGTCAACTTTGAACTGAGAGGTGAAAAGCTGCCTCCCCCGCCTCCCAGCCCCGTGTGGCTGGGAGCAAGTCGTGGTTCTCCCAACAATTACGAACACTTCACGTCTCCTTTTCCGGCCCTGCTCTGTCCCGTGGGAATCTAACTAAATTACCCACATCAAAAAACTGAAAAGAGAGAGGTAACGTGAACTGTGACAGTAAATTTCATTCGCTCCGTCAACGCCAAGGACTGTTTTGACGTGTGACCGGTGTGATTCCCTCGACCTGTTTTACAGT